CTCTCTTAACTGTGCACAGAAGTCCCCGCCCAGTGACCCCAGGATGTCACTGACGGAGGCTGCCCGCCAGGCAGGCGTCGCGGACGGGGACCCTGGAGACAGGCCACAGCCTTGACACTGAAGTCGGACACCTGGCTTGGGCGCGAGGTCCTGGCTGCAGAGGCCTCGTTTGGAGACGAGCAGATCTGGGTGCAGCCGGCCCAGTGCGTGGGGGGCCCGACCATCCAGCAGGGCGGAGCCAGAGCTGCGGCTCCCTCTCGGGGCCGAGGGCCCAGCTGCTCCTGCGCCCGTGTGTCCCTCCCACAGCCTCGCTTCACAGGTGAGACGCAGGTTAATGTGGGTCTGAAGACTGAGGGTCCGACCCAGATGGTGTCCACGGGCCACATTCTCCCCAAGGACCTGCAGGTGATGGACTGACCCCTCCAGCCCAGTGGGATTCTGTGGGCGTGTGAATAACACGTGTGAGATGCACGTGTAGGTCTTTGTAACAACAACCCCCAAACCGGAGAAGCTCCAGGCTCCACAAACAAGCCTGACCCACCTGGGGCTCTGTAAACCCTGAAGAGAAACCTGAGCACAGGCAGGTGCGAGCCCAGGGTCCGAGCTCCTGGCAGCCACATGTCCAGGGTTGTGGGGGGCCAGGGCCCGTGGTCCGTAGTCTGTGGGGACAGAAGACCTGGGACGGAAGAAAACTTGCCCCCCAACTCTAAGGCCGAGCCCCTCCCCCACCCAGCCGTGGGAGAAGCGGATAAAGTTCGCCCTCTCTCTCCCCGGCAGGATGGGACAGCAGAAAAACCAAAACCAGTGACGGCGACTGTTGCTTTTTCACATCACAGATCGATTTCAAGGGTGGCTCCTGAGACACAGCCGAGTGAAACACGGACCCTCACGACCCCACCTGGAAGGGAAAGGGCCCCCATCTGGCTGAGGACAGTCCCAGCAAGGTCTCCATGGCCAAGGGCATTGAGGAAATCTGAGAGCAAGGACACAGGGAGGGCCCACTGTCCAGAAAGGGCAGCAGGCAGAGCTGCGGGCCGGGGGCGGTCGGAAGCACCCAGGGCAGGAGCATCCGGGCATCCGGCGGGGGCAGCTTGGGGCCTCTGCTTCCCCCGGAGGAACAAGCCTTCTTCACCGGCTTGGCCTCGGGGAGTGGGGACCGCCACTGTTCCTAACTCGGGAGCCCAAGAAAGAGCCTCAATAATTAAGAAGGGATGCTCTTAGTGACAAGTTGCAATCTCATATTGACTGATTAAAAAAAAAAACTGAAGAAAAGCTATAAAAACCACCATGTCCTCCAAAACACCACACACCTGAACACTTCAGCCCAAACTCCTCAAACAGGGTGAATTTCCCGTTCCTAGAGCTGGAAAAAATCTATTCCTGATGGATCAGTTCATCAAATCCAACAAATGTTTACGGGGCATCGACCGAGTGTGAAGCTCCTGTCTACAAAGCGGTCCTGACGAAACGCACGGGTGAATGGGAGGGACCCGCAGCGCCGGTGGGAGAGACAAGCCACAGAGAAGTTTGGAATACAAAACCTCGCTCTCAGCTGAGGAGCGAGACGCAAGCCCCAGCAAAGTCGCCTGGGTGTCCCAACCCAGAGCCTGGCGCCCCTGCCCTTGCAAAGTGGGGCGGGCCCTGGGGGACCCCTCACAGCCAAGGCCGGGGTCCCTTGGACCAGTGGCCCCTGCAGAGCGACTGCGGGTCCAAAGGGCACAGAGCCGGCTGGCCCCCGGGGCCCCCCAGAATCACTGCCGCGGGACTGTTACAGAACTTCCTCTCTGGTGACTCGCACCTTCAGGAATAAGTCTCCCAAGACGGGCTGCAGTGGCTGAGGGTGCTGCTGTGCGACCAGGGCTGGGCCCCACTCACTGTGTGTGGCCCGGGGGGCACAGGCTCCTGGTCCGCGCCTGCCACGTTCGTCTCCCCAGGCTTTCCGGTCCCTTCTGCTCCTCCCTGAAACATGCGGCGGTGGAGGGCAGAAGGCCCCTCCTCCTCTGCCCCCCACACCCCCAGCCCTGCAGGAAAGCGGCCCCAGCATCTGCCGTGTCTCCTCGGCAGCCCCAGCCTGACCCGGGCGCCGGGCCCTGCCGTCCCGCTCGCGGCCACGTGTCCGGAAAGGCGGGCTCCCTTCGGGATCTCGGTTTCCTCCCGGCTCACCAGGCCCGCAGGTGCCCCCTCCGCCTTCCCCTCCGACAATCCGCCTCACGGACCTCAGGAATTTGGGAGCGTCCCTCCCTCCTGGAACTCCCAGGCCGGGCCTCGCCGGCCGCTGCCCTCCCCGCCCTCCCTGCTCGCAGGGAGGGCCTGTGAGAACTGCAGGTTCCCGACCCTTTCGCTGCTACCAGGGACGCTGTCCCCGGGCCAGGCGGAGGGCTCCACCGTGTAGGCTGTTTGCTGACACCTTCCTGCCCACGTGTAAAAGAAAAAAATAACTATTTCTAACAGGCAAGCATCCTAAGTTTACAGACTATTTCCCCCTGAAATTCTACTAATTCAAAGTATCTAAGATCAAAGACTTTCTGGAAGCTCGGAGAGGCTGCTTTGACGGTCGGAAATAAAACGACCAAAGGCACATTTGCAAAGCTGGGGTTCCGACGGGAGGTGCCTTCTGAAGGCCCTCAGTCCTCCCATGCAGAGCCCAGCGGTGAACTATCACCCTCCCGTGTCACGGACTAGGAACCAGAACAGAGATGGCAAACCCCTTGCCCAGCATCACACAGCAGAAGAGGCAGAGAGGGGACTAGAACCGCATCTGCTGGAGGCCAAGACCCCTCCCACCTGGCCTGCCCAGGGGGACTGGTGCTTTTACCCCTCTGTGGAGTGACGTTTTAAGGAAAAGCAAAAATAGCCCTTGCGTATGAGTGACGTATCCTTAAGGAATGCATAAAGAAAGGGCAGGATGGACATGAAGGTGCCTGTCCTGTGGACCCTGTTCTCACACAAGGTCCCCTTCAAAGGCCCGGTAAACAAGGACACAGAAGACAGAATTTGTACCCAGTCATGACGTCCAGGAGTAAGGGGGGGGGCACAAACAGGGGTGTGGCGGGGACCACCCCAGGAGCTGCCGTGGGACGTCCCCGGGGCCTGCACTAAACCACGACACCCTGTCGGAGTTCCCATTCCAAATGTCTTCTGTCATCTAGAGCCAATCAGGCCCTTTGTGGGCTTCGGGTCCTGTTTGCATAAGCTGTCGGGTGACCGCCCCCCGCCCACGGGGCTGCGGGGGTCAAAGCCGTCCCACACAGGAAAGGACTGTATAAGCGAAAGGGATTGTTTAAAACAGGGTTTGAAGGGACGGACCTAAAGTTACAACTAACTCCCCAAAGTTTCTGCACACTCCTCACGTTTTACTAGGAGTTTCAGCCAACAGGCCTGGTGTCTGCCTTTCCTTCAACAGCGCGTCGGAAAAGAGGTTGCTTTCTCAGTCAACAGGAAGAGATTAATACAGACATTAACACCCGAGAAAAGCCAGTCCTTTGCGGGGGCCTGCCCAAGTGACGGGGACCCCATGTACAGAGCCAAAGGATCACACAGGCCTGCTGCCAGCCAGGAGTTCCCGGCTGCTGGGCACAAGCCCGCCCCTCTTGAGAGGGTCTCCAGCGCCCGGTACAAACTTGGGGAAGCGAACGCTAGTCTGCAAGGTTTCCGGGGTGAGCTTCGCAGTCCACACGCGAACCACTCACTTTTCTGTCCTTTAGGAAGGGGTTTGGGACGCTGTTCTCTGGGAGGGCAAGTGTAGGGGAAAGTGAGGGTCCCAATCGTTTCCCCTTTAGAGACGGCGGGTGGCGGGGAGGCTAAAATGTACCCCTTGCTTCAGAAGGCGGCCCAGGGTCTCAACAACCGCATTACACCGCGGTGCGCGGTCCGCAGCCCTCCTCGGGGTTCGCCGGGCGCCCCTCGCTCTGTGGGGGGCATTGCGCACCGCGCACCCGGCGCGCGGGTGGCCCCGCTGCACCAGGGCCAGGCCCTCGAGGTGCGGCGGCCACCGGACGCGCCGCGGCTCCCGGAGGCGACGGGGGACGGGGCACCGCGGCGCTCCTTTGTGGCGCTTTGGCCAGAGCGGCAGAACCGAGACAATGAGCGTTCTGTGCGCAGTCCCGCGCCGATTGGCTGGGCTCTCCCCAGAAACCCCTGATGTCACGGACTTGGAATGCGGGGAGGGAGGAAGGAAGGAGCGGATTTGGGGAGGGGGCGCCTCTCCTGTCCTTCCCAGACCCAGAGTCCAGGGACCAACTCCACGCGTTCTCTGCGCGGCCGGCCGACCCAAGTGAGCGCGCCCCGAGGCCGGGCGCCGCGAACGGCATCCCGCTGGGCGAGTCGGCCCTGAACAAAAGCGACCCACGGAGCCGCCCTGATACCGTTACAGCCTTCCGTTCACCAACTTCTCGGTTTTCCTCAAAAAACCGCCAGTCCCCACAGATAACACCCCGGGGCGGCGCGCTCGGGCTTTGTCTGGGTTTCCCGAAGCGACAGCAATTCGCCCCCAGGCACCGACATCCGGGAAACTCCAGGGTCCCCGGAGGGTCCCGTCCCTCCGGGGGTGCCCGGCGTCGGGGGCCGGACGCTCGGCGGTCTCCCTCCGCGGGAACAATGGGGACCCCGGCAGGCCACGTACCCGCCTAACTGTGCTCGCGGCTGCACTCGCCTGGGGCTGGGGAGCGAGAGGGCGCGGGGTCAGCAGGGGCCCCGGGCGCCCGGCGCCGCGGACCAACGCCACTTCAGGGCGGAGGGCCGCGCGGGGGTGTCTCCCGCCTGGAAAGGCGCGTCCTGCAGCCGCGGCCGACCCCCGGGGCCCCAGGCCTGCTCGGCCCGGTTCCAGCGGCCCCGACCCCGCCCGCCGCCCGTCCGGCCCGCGGCGCGGGAACAAAGCCATGAGGGCGCCGGGGACCGGACGGGGGCAAGCGGCCACTGCCGCCGCCCGACGTCTCCGCTCCGCGAAGCCGGCGCGCCAGGGAGCCGCCCGGCCCCAGGGACCCCACCCGAGCCCGGCGCACCTTGTTCTTGACCTCGGCCGAGAGCCCGTAGGAGGGGCCCTTGTTGAAGTGGGTCATGGTGGTCGGCGGCGCGAAGGGGCTGCGCTCGGCTCGGGGTCTCGCACGGGGCTTCGCGCTCCTGGCCCGGGAGTGGCCGCGGCGCAGACGCTCGGAGTTCGCTCCCCTGGGCAGCTCGGTCCGACTGGGTCCCGGGGAGCCCGCGGCCCGCCCCGGAGTCCCGCACGCATTGCCCCCGCCTCCGCCCGCGGCCTGGAGGGCTGGGCCGGCCGGCCCGACCAATGGGGGGCCGCCTGCTCCCGCCTCGCGGGCGAGGGGCGGTGCGCTCGGTCCCCGCGGGCCCGGCCCCCGCCCGCCCGCGCTCACGCCACCGCGGCCGCGGCCAGCGCCCCTCCTCCGGGCGGGCGAGCGGGGCGGAGCGGGGCGGGGCGGGGCTGCGGCCGGGGTAGAAGCGCCCAGGGCTGCCCGGGCCCGGAATTCCCGTGCACGTCCAGGCCGCCGCCGCCGCCCCGTCTGCCGCGCCCCGGCCCCGAGCCCGGCGCGCTCTCCGGCCGCTGCAGGGAACCCCGGGAGCAGCCCCGCAGCCGAGAAGGGGGCCCTCCCCCGACACCTGCTCCTCTCGCCCCTCGCAGCCGCTCCCACCTGTTGGGTTAACCTCTGCCGGCTGCCGCTCTGGCCACGGTCGGGGCTCAGGGCACAACCTGGGGCATTTCAAGTCCTTTTCTGGACTCGCACCAGCTGCTTTCACAAGGGATTTGGCCGGACCAGAGTCGGGGTGGCTGTGCTCGCAAAGCCGGGGCCCCTGAACCAGGACGCCTGGGCGTGGAGAGAAGCGCCCTTCTCGCCACACGCATCCCCCGTAGCCCCACGTGCCCCCCAACCCCCTGCACCACCCCGTGCTCCCCTCTGGTTTGGGGGACGCGTTTCAGTCCCCAGCGCCCAGGATGAGGCTGTCGTGAAGGCACAGCAGCTCCTGTGCCAGAGGAACCCACGGGCCAGGTGTGGCCGGAGGAGGGAACCCTGCTCTCCCGACAGCTGGTCCTCCTGCACTGAAGGACTTGAGAAGAAAAGGCAGAAAACGGCTATTAACTAGTGGGGGACTCGGGGATGGCCGGGGTGGGGGGGACACGGAAGGTGGAGGGTGCTCCTGGGGGAGGGGAGGACGGAGGTGATCCGCTGGTGTAGTCAGGAGGTAGTCACATAATTAGGTCATTCTTCCGGCCCAATGATGACGTAACTGACCCACAATTAGTGGGGAGCAGTTTGGGCTGTTTTTCCGGTGGAGGGATGTTACCCGTGACTTCACCCACTTTTCTCGGGGACCAAGTGGCGTGGGAACAGCCAGATCTGAGAGACAACGCATCCCCTGCCTCACCTGCTGGGCCCCTGATGTCAGCCAGGGTGGCAGGCGTGGAGATCCAATCTCCTTAAAGGTCATTCCCTGTAGAACGTTCTAGAACTATATTCGGTTTTGTCGTGAAAAACTTTGCAGACAGAACGTGAGCCTTGTTTCATGGGTGCAGGGTTTTGGTTTGGGATGGTGGGAAAGTTCCAGAAGAGGGTAGTGGGGTGGGGTGGCCACCGAACGACGTAGAAAGGCGCTCGGTGCCACTGGGCACCACAGGCCGCAGGCGGGGAGCCCTGGCGTCCGACGACGGGCCCCCTCCGTCTGGTCTTCTCTCCTTTTGCTGCTCTTCTGCCTTCTTCCTGCTGGAATCCACCCGTAACATCCCCACAAAGTTTCTTTCTCGAGTTCGGGGTGAAAGACATTGCCAACTGCTGAGGTTTGGCGGTGAAGAGAAGCCGGTCGGAGGAGGCGTTTGGCGAGGCTTCAGGGAGGTTCACAAACTTCCTGGGACATTTACGCAACAACCTTTGTGCAATGTGACGCCATCCCTCTGGGAGGGACCGACCTGCCGGCTTTCACCCAGGCTCAGCGGGGAGAGGGCAGCAGGCCTCCGGCCTCCGCGCAGCGGGGGCTTCTCTGCAATGACGCGTGTTCCCGCTCTGGGGGAGGGTGCGGTTTAAGAGCTTCTGTTTCGGGAAGGGAGGGTTAACAACCAGACTCTCGGTCTCTGAAGCACGGAATGATTCACATTCCAGGGTCACATTCCAGCCTCCTTTGCGGCTTATCGAGACCTTAGATAGCAAAAGATGGTATCGGGAAACCCAGGCAGCCTGATCCCTCCGCGACCTGGTCACTGGGGAACGTCAAGGCCGCCTCCTTCCAGGCGGGCGACTCCTTTCCGCTCGGAGGAGTCGTCTTCTCCAAGGTGCGAACCTCCGCTCCGGCCCTGCTCTGACTGAGGACAGTGTGTCCTCCCAGAGGGGGCCCAGGGTGACTTCCCCCTGTTCCTGGGAATAAATGTGTCTACCTTTTGGCTTCAAAGTCATCTGGAAAATGGGCATTGCGTGCAACAGAACTAAAAGCATTAACATCGTGAACCGAACACTAAGCCGGCTGATCCTTCTTTCTGGTCGGCTGTAAACTCGGTGAGGGCAGGAACTGCTCTGTCCGGTCTGGTTGTAGACCCTCCAGGCTGTAGACTGGGCGGCCGACCCCTAAGCACTTCCTGTGACAAACGGAGGAAAACGACCAGCGGAGAACAGGACCCAGGGGAAGCGTTTCCGGAGGCACATCGTGGGGTCAACCCTCACCCAGTTGGTCCATTAGCTCCCGAAGGCCCTGGAAACACCCGGGTGGACGGCTACGACCCCCCTGCGGGACCCTTTCCTGCCCGAGGGGTGGGCAGGCGCAATGAGGAATATCCTTTCGGGGAGTCAGGAGGCCCCTGGAGGTCGGGCAGTTCAGGGAGGGGCTGACCGGCCAGGGGGAGAGGGGAAGGTGTTCCCCGCAGAGGAGGCTGCGAAGGCAAATCCGTGGAGAAGGAGGGCGGGGCGGCCTTGAGGCGCCAAGAGAGAAGGTCGGGGGGAGGGGCCGAGGCCGGGTCAAACACAAGGTCAGAGACCGGGAGGAACGGGCCCTTCACAGGGACAATCAAAGGCCCTGAAAAACGCTTCTGTGCCTGTTTTCTGAATCCAAGAAGGATGAAAATGAGCCTAGGGAAATTAAGTATTGCAGTGACTTAAAAATGGAAATTCTTGAATTGATGGTTCCAATAATTCATCCAAAAAAACGAAATGAAGGAGGTGGGCCCGTTTCCCAGCCACGCTGGATAAATGCCGCCCCTTAATTTGTGAGGTTTGTTCTACTGAAATCCTCGTGACTTTGGGGAGGGTCTGGGTATCAGGCAAAAACACTGTGTCTGCGCTGTTTTGTGTGTTGGGAACGGGCTGCGTTTGTCCAGCTTCACATTTTTAAATGCTGGGATCCTGGTTACAGAGTTAAAGGAGATTTTGCCCTCATTCAGTCTCTTTAAAAAAAAAAATTGGAAGAAAACTGCTTTAGGGGGGTGTTTTATAGGCATTATTTCAACTACTAAGAAAAGCAAATTAATGTTGGCTGTTAAAATTTGCCTCTTAATTGATTTTACCACTGTCCTACCAAAAGTTATACAGAAATAAGGGAGAGTACTTAGCTCATATGTCTGTGTGAGATATTTATTTATTTATTTATTTATTTATTTTAGGGAGGAGAGGGAGGAGGAGAAATGCCAGTGAGAGAGGAACGTTGGTTGCGTCTCATACATGTTCCTACCTGGGGCCGAGCTCACAACCCAGGCATGTGCCTGATTGGGAATCGAACCCGCAACCTTTTGCTTTGTGGGAAAATGCCCAACCCACTGAGCCACACCAGTCAGGGCCGTCGGTGTGAGATTTAAATGATAATATGTTATTATTTTTAAGTATATGTTCCCAAGGTGAGACTACCTTGACTTCATTGAAAACTAACGCTCAATTATTTATCTTACACCCCATTTATTCATCTGTGCTTATGTTTGTGTGTGTGAATTAAAACCACCATTAGTCATTATCACACAATCAGCCTTCGTGCATTATAGGGACATAGGAAATCTTTTCTTCCGCCCTCCTGGGTTCTGAAACTGGTCAATCTGCAAATGAAACAAAGAGTTACTATGTCACGGAGGGGAACTGCCGGGAAGTGGTTAAGTTGAAAGCGTGTATAACATTGTAACAAAAAACTGGGAACTGTTGGGAGACCAGACAAGGACAGGGGCTCGGGCTTCCAATGGCAGTGAATTGTGGGCCAGTTAACCTGCAGGAGGAGCTACTGGGGGTGCAATTATTTCACGAAGGGCTGCAAAGTGCAGCCAGGGATGAGTTTCCAGGGACTGAGTCCTTCACAGAGGAGCACCCACGCCCTGATTTCAGGTGGGAAGGGGGTGGAGGGCAGAGGTTTCCTGCCACAGTGACGTACTTCGAGCGGCAGGCTCGGGTCCTCTGGACGCAGCATCCCCATCTTCCGAGTTTATCTGAAACCCGTGGGGTAGAGGCCACGCTTTACACCTGCTCCTTCCTGGTTCCCGGCTGCGCTCTGAGTACAAAGCAGGAACCCACTTATTTTTTATGAGTTCGAATCGCACTATTTATTACCTCCGCAGGACTGCTGAGTCATTCCTATAACCATCAAACGATTGGTTAATATATAACCTAGTAACTTCTCTGCTCCTTCAGATGTAAACCAGAAACGCTGTCCCCGCCAGCTCAGCCCACAGAGGATGAATGAAGGTGGCAATCGGCGCTCCTAAAACACACACATCTTTTCATCCAGCTCGTCTGTCTGTCCACCCAGCACCTCCTGAGTGTCTGCTCTGGACCAGGCTCCATCTGAGACTCCAGAAGGGCAGAGCCCGGCTGACTTCAAAGTCAGGCCTCCCCCTGCTTGGCTTTGTTATCCAAACGGACTCAGGACAAGTCAGGAAGGTTGCCCTCGTGTCTTTGATGTAACCAAAGGCACGTGGGCCCAAGGGGAGCAGCAGCTGCCCTGTTGTGGGTGAACCAGCCTCTGCTTCCAGGACGAACCCCAGGCATCGGGGTTTATAAAGCCCTCTACGCCCAGAAGGGCTCCTGATTGCTAGGCTGGAAAACGGAAAGACAGGAAGCGACCACCATCTCCTCAACCCACGGCGATTCCAGCCTCACACTCTGGGCAAGGACACGCCTCAGCGATTCGTGACACAGCTGTGTCCGGGAAGCCCTTGTCCTGCTGTCCTCTCCGGCTCGGCCTGGCCTTCCACCCTGGGCTCGTTCGTCCTCTCCACCAGGAAGCCTTCCCTGCTTGCCCCACCCTGGTGAAG